ATATATATATATATATATATATATATATATATATATATATATATATAATGTGTGTGTAAAAAATCAAAATTTTTCTGCACAAGAGTAATTTACAACATTAATATCTTAAATAATTCCATTTTTAATGACATCACAATTTAATGCAGTTTATTATGTACTTCAAGTTCAATGGATTATGATATGCATGCCTTTGCAAATCAAATTCGAGAGCAGCCCGTTTCACGTGAACAACAATTAAAAGACTTAGCCGCAATTAATGAGTAATTATTTGTTTTGCTTATATCATATAATACAATATTTATTGTATTTATAATGGCATTTTACTAGTAAAATTTTTACTTCTATATACAAAGATAATTTATAACTATATTATTTTAAAAAATATTGCTCTTCCATTTTTACATTTCTACATATGTATAATCACATCACATTTTAATGCAGATGTGTACAAAAGGTTTTAGAGCAATACGAAAGAATATATGGCTCGCCGATGCCATTATTTGAACAAACGAAAAAGAACACAAACGCATTTGATAAGTAAATACTTGTATTTTACTTACAATGACTTATATCACAAAATATAATAACATCCTACTATTTAAATATTGACTTTTCAGCACAAGAATTACTTACAACGGTAATATTTTAAATAATTCGGTTTTTAATTACACCACATATCAAAGCAGACCAAGTCCTTCAACTTCAACGGGTTATAATATGGATCTCTCTGCAGAACGTAGAAGTGAAGAACGACCTGACTTGCAAGTTCTGTCATCTAAACAAACGAGAAAAAGAAAGGGAGCAGTTTATAAGTAATTATTTGTTTTGTTTTTAATATTAAATTTATTTTGTATAGTGTTACGTTTTTCTTCCCAACAATAACAATAAAAAAAATTATCAATGTACCTATAAGAACATTAATATATAATACTTTGATACTCTGTAATAGACTATAGAATTATGCATTAATGAAATTTGACGACTATTTTAATTTAAGAATTGCAACTTGTCTTTATAGTCCTGTAGTATATATAACCGTAACATATTCATACACCGACTATTTTGTTTTTGCTTTTATTCTATATACATACAAATGCAGAATAATGACTATTTTGTATATTCTATTTCAATTGACAGCAATGTTGTAGATTCCAATAGAATTTTGTCAACGTGCACGTGTCCCATCGTACATAAACGAAAGCGTGTCGAAGCAGACACTGATGACGAGTAATTATTCATGCGACACAACACAGAAGGAAGAGTATATTACGATCTTAATATTGACTTTTTACGATCTCAATATTGACTTTTTACGCAAAATTTATTTTGTGTAAATTTTTTACACAATGTTAGTTTGTATTATATTTTAGTAAAAAGTATATATTTGCCGTTTTTTCTTCTTATATTTTAAATATTTATTAAGTAAGTAAGTTCAATAAGTGCCGTCGATGCGTGCGGCGTGCGTAGATAACCCATGTAAGCTAGATCTGTTGGCCATATTCCCAACTTTTGACCTTTCGTATCTTGAAAACTGGCCATTTTCGGATTTCGTGCCTAGAGACTTTTGATCAGCATTACATAAACTATATTACATAAACATATATATATATATATATATATATATATATATATATATATGTAACGTGCACACACACACACACACATATAGGTATATATATAATTCCACATTAAGTTGATGTACCAATATTATCAAATGACTACATTAACTAAATAATTTCAAACGGCCAATTTCGAGCTATTACCAGATGTTAGAAAAATATTTACTACATTCAATAATTTAATACAGACTTGTGTTGACGTTTCGTGCCTTACTTGGCCTTCTTCAGAACAATAAAAAATTATAAAGAAAAACGCATTATAATATATCGCATTATTCTACGAACAAAACGAATCAATTTGATCCAACGCCACAATTTTCATTAATACGCGGTCTCACCCAAGTAATTGGAACGGTCATATTGAAGTCAGAAGTATATTGTCAATTATTCGTCAATCTACACACCGAATCGGTCGTTTCCTTCGCTGCATGACCCTTATGCGTTCATGAAACCCGTATAGATGTAAGATCCTTTGTCGTCAGACCATCTTACAATTAGTGGCAACTATATTAGAGTTAGAACTTACATAAGACCAAAACGAGAATTTGATTAAAACGATTTTAGCCCTATAAACAGACTCACATAAGCGGTCAATGAAACAAAGAACTAGGGTGGATTCCTTCCATCGCCTCACAAAGCGTGTGTGTTCGTCGTGAAGGATAACAGACTACATTAATTTTATTAATTATTAACACGTTGGAGCGCCAAGTATGTCGATACCAAGAATAAATAATAATAAACTATTTGCATTAATAAAATATTTTATGGTAACAATTTATTTATTCTTAGAATCAATATCGTTTACGATTTTTTTACTTCTCTCTGTGAGTACTATTAAAATATTAAGTTTATATTTTTGAAATATAGTTAATACTTATTAATTTTTATGGAGCTTATTACAATTTTTATCATGGGAACAATTACGAAGACAGGCAAAGTTTTATAAGATTCGTAGTTTTGTAAACCATCGTGATTTCTATTCTACTATGGATAATGAATGAAATATTAACAAAATGGCATCTTCGATCTACTGGCATCTTCCCCCGACTCTTACCCTATATAATGTCAAATATTATTCCCAGGTATTGTACCAAAAGTTTTTAATCACGTATAGATTATTAGCCGAGTTATTAAATTTTTTTAAATTTCTTTTTGCTTGTTTTTCTTTGATCCATTGTGCATCTATTATCTTATTGAGCATCTATTGTGCAACGGCTCGAATTCATTGTTCGCGCTCGCCAGGAAGCCAGTAGGTCGTCGTACCAAATAAGGTTGCTCACCCCGGGTAACCTCCACGGATTCGAGGCAAGGGTCCAGCCTTTGCGGAGCATCTCGCTTAGAATTTTCGGCCCAATTCAAGCCCTTATCTTAATCGACGGATCTGAGGTGCTACGGGGCCGCGAACATCGGCGAGCAAAAAAAAACAAGTAAATTATGAAAAAAACGACGACGAGCAGCGGCCGAAAGTAAGGGTTTCGCTTCTCGAGAGAGTCGCAAATTAGGCGAGCGACCGACGGAGATAGCTAAGGATCATCGAGGAAGAATTCCGACAGCGGCCGGGTGCCCGCCATACATCTTGTTCCTCGACAGCTCATCCTAAGAAAAATTAAGAAGGTATACGGTGATGCGCGCGAGACCGATTATTAATTAATGTCAATCAGTTCCCAGCGTTAATTATTCCACGCTTTGAGCGCGTTTCTAATTAGTTACCAGCGTATGTAACGACGTCTAATGTGACCGCGTCAAATATTTATACAATCGCGTAATTATTCCCGCGTCAAACGTAATTCGCTCCGCAACGCCACGATAGGAGATCGTTAAACCTACTTCGCTGCCTTCGCGCTTCAAGGAAGGACAACCAAGTTTGTGCATCACGTTCGGGTCACTGGTGTACGAGCAGACCGTTATGAGTCGGTATGAGCCACAGGGGGAGGCATTATGCATAGCTACGGGCGTAAATCCTGACTTCCAAGAAACGATCGCTCATTGATCCCGGTGCCTCCCTCCTGTCCCCGACGACACAGGTCACGTCTGCATAACGGTCCCCCGGCAAAAGGACACGTGCCTCTAAACTGCGCGGCACAGGCTAATCAACCTGACGCCGCGCCGGTGCAGGAACCGCTATTGTGCGATCGGGTCGATTCCTTCCGTGCACGATTGACGGCTGTCTTACGGTAAATCCTCCCGGTAGGGCTCGCGAGAACGAAATGAGACACGGATAAGGACGACCGGAATACGTTTATCGGAATGCGTCGGATTGCATTTAACCCTTGCCTGCGTTGAGATGGATTCGATGTAGCAAGATTTATGGTGATTCCCCATTTTTTTCTAGACGCACGAGACGCAGTGCTTTATACGAGCTAAAACGTGGGTCTCTCAATAAAGATTTATCATTGCAAGAGACGGTACATACATTAGCATTTATCGTATGTCTTTAGTGTTCCTTTCGCGTACGACGCGAAATACGTCTTCGGAAAAATCTCGTACTCCTTGACACACGTGAATACACATGTCTCAATCTATGGGTTTATCGTCGCGTCATCGTTTAACATAGTCGGTCAAGGAATACGCAGTCGTCGCAAACGCGTCGCGAACGGCGTGGCGGCTCGTTCGTCGTTTAATTTATGGACGCCGCGGCAACATAACGTAATCTTAATACTCTATTACCTCATGAATCATCAAATGCACAGATTTATTAACGCGAACGTTTGCGAGATTGCACGGGGGAAACCTTAATTAGGCGATCAGGCTCGTACCGCTCGTGTAATCGTTCATTGAGGCAAACTTTCTCTCATCTGCGTTGCGAGTTGTCGGTTTCAGCGGTCGTTAAAATTTTGCACGATGCGCTACTGACCGGCGAGTTGTCGTCGCTGCCGTAACGAGAATCCGCCTCGTCGATATATAGGTAGGATCGCGTATATCGAAGGCAACGGTACTTACCACTTTTCCCATCGTTCCTCGTATATGTATCTGCCGAACGGACTTCTGACGGTAACCACTGTTAGGAATGATGCATAACGTGTCACGTGATATAATGGGCCCTCCGTGTATCTCTATCCGTACAGCGCAAGACGATCTATTACTGTCGATCGCGCGACGGTAATGCACTCGAAAGCGCAAACAAAACGAAGCGGAGGCGACTTAATTCAGATTTTACTTAGCCTTCTATAAATGAGTGAAATCTAAGAAATCTAGAACACGAAAGTCAAAAAACGTCAAAATGATGGTAAAACGATGGTAAAATGAAAAAAATTATTTTACCTATATTTTGACATTATTTTGACTTTATTATGACTTGCTGTTTTACCTGGGTGTACAGATTGAGCGTTAATTATTTATAATTCAATCACGATTTTGGTATGCGTTTTGATATTTTCTTAAAGTTAATTAATAAAGATTTTTGTGCATATACGCTGACTATAGCAATTGCGTAAATCATTGCCAGCAGAACTATTATGCTACAAAACGATCACCCGCGAATTGAAGTGCGGAATGTGAATTCTAACGGCGCGCGCCGTCCTGTTGAACTTGCAAAATCGCTTGATTCGCGCGACTATCTACACATTACGTTCTCTCGCAATTTAACATTGATTTGCACCGCGAGTGGCAGAAAAAGGAAAAGACGGAGCATGGGAACCTATCGAGAGTCCCCATAAAGCGGGACTCGCGTTATGATGTACGACTCCGCGCAAAGTCATCAAGTTACAGTTACTTGCTGCCTGCCGAAGCAGGCGTTGCCAATTGATACCGCGCGATTATATTGGCAATCGCACCGGCAATCCAGAGACGTGGATCGCGGCGGTTTACCGATACACAAAACGCCTTTCTTGTCGGATTCCAACGTAAACTTATGAGTCGCGAGTGAACGAGTCTCTAGCATTGTAAGGAGAATGGAGAGAAGAAAGAAAGGATAAAGAAAACGTTTATTACACCATGAACTTTGTAAAGAAATAAGTTACGTTGTCGTGTAATTGAAAATCGCAAATAATCCAAAGAATAAGTGACTTTTGCGACGTGTATCGTTTCGTTTTCACCACGGTAATCCGCACGTGATTTAATTGCACGGATACGCGGATGCTGCGACAGCCAGGAACGGACACACGAAGCGGTCAAGAGATGAGCGAGTATTCTCGCGTCTGGATATGATTATTCATTACATCGCGGTACGTTTAAGGCTCAGTCACAATGAGAGGAATAAGGAATAAGATAAAGGAATTAGGAATAAGGCATGTTGCATCTCACTTTAATGTACGTGTACTGAAGTGAGATGCGACATTCCCTTATTCCTTATTCCTTTATCTTATTCCTTATTCCTCTCATTGTGACTGAGCCCTTAGTCCGCGCGGCTCATTAAATATCTGGCCCATTGCATAAACAATAACTTTATTTTCCGCAGATTGTATACCATTCGCACCATTATCGCGCTCGAGGGTAAAAGACGCGTAAAAGTTCGGCGTTTCGGCGTCAATGCATGAGAAAGACTGATGGTTTCCCCATCCGGATTTGCCATTTGTGATTGTAGTCTATGATTTGTGTCGTTATCGCGCGTCGATCGTGAGTGATAGTTATTTAAGAAGTAGAGCAGACGCGCAGAAACGCGCTATCGTAGATGCTGATTACGGTTCTCCGGGAAGCAACAATAACGGCTCGCTGTGTTTACGATAGAATTATTCCTATCACTGTAAATATACAGTTGTACTTAATGGCTCGATCGATCGTACACCGTGTCGTGTGTACTTTCCCAGTCAATAGCTCCTTTTTCCGCAAACCATTTACCGAGCGCGACATAGGAAGTGTAAGAGAGCATCTTTATTATCCATAATTCATTGGTAACTTCTTTATGTACGCATATAGAGAAATTAATTGAATCTTAATAAGCGCCTAAAGGTATCTCGATTGTAGGTTTTATTAACGAATGTAGGACGCAAGATGAAATAGATT